AGTGCCCGGAGTCTGTCTTTTTATTTTTTTCCTCCCAAACCCCATCCCCTCAGGACGCCTTTTGCCTCCTGTCAGGTCATCATTGTAATAAGAATTTGTTCTTAATTGATTTTCCTGGCTAAATAAAGGTTCTACTACTATTTATTCAGTTATTTTATTACTGGTACTGCTAATTGCATTATGCGTATTGTTGTATATTGTATATACGTATGTATTTACTACTACTACTTACAAAATCGAGGGTTGTAGCTTTGTGTCAGTACATATTTCAGGGTTTTTCTATGCCTTTGTTAATCTAAATTCTAATACTCATAGGCGACTACCACTCCTGCCGATGCCGAGGCCCAGTTCTCCCTTCCCACCACCCCAGGCTCATTGTGCTAGGTAAAACTCTCATTCAATAAAAGTAGTCTTTTAAAGGTGGGGTAGGTAATTTTGGAGAAACCAGCTCGAGATCGCTAGAATTTGAAAATACACAGCCGGAAAAAATGTGCCACTTCCTTACAGAGCCCCTCCTCCAACACACACGAACGCGCACATGACCAATGAGGGCACGAGATAAGTTTGTGCACAGATGGAAGGCTGACAGGCAGGTAGGCCATCCAGTTATTTTAGCCGGGCCGGCTAAAATGATTGGTTGTGCTTTTTACAGTACCATGGCTTCCACAGATGATATTTTTTTATGGATTTTTTGTCAAAGCACTTAAGATATTCATTGCTATCGGGATGTTAAGAGCATTCCATGGAATATAACAAAAAGTGTATCTCGAGCCGGTTTCTCAAACTTACCTACCCCACCTTTAAAGATGAATGCAATTACATTTAAAAAAGTTTTAAACAGAACTGTTACAGATGCAGATGCTTGGTCCAAATTCCATAAAATATACCAACCAGTAGCGCCACACTCAGACGAAAATGTACAAAGCCTATTCTTCCACTATTTGTATTCCCACATTATTCACCAAGCCAGCCCATGCTTTAATATAGATATTGTTATAATTCCTGCTGTCTTTTGTGAACTTCTAATTATTTGTAATTGTTCTGTTCCACAGATGCTGTAGTAAACCACCATCCAGGGACCAAGACATCAGATATAAGAACATCCATTAACACAAGAATTTGTGAGTAAAGGCACGAAAAAAACAAGATTGACGATTAAATAGGGTACAAGACTGTTTGGCCCTGTTCCGGACCTTGTTTTAATGAGTGATCAGCTCATGTTTAAAGTTGTCACCAGGTGAAACAAAAAACAAGATTGTTAAATAGGATAACAGACTGCTCTTTTTGGCCCTGTATGAAATAACAATGCATCATTTATTAACTATACCTATACAAAATGTAATACATTTTCCCTTCATTATGTAATAACACCTCCTTTTGTAATAATTTGCCCATTATGTAGTAAACAAGTTCAATGCAAATATGTAATACATGTCGCCACATTTTGAAATATATTATTACATATTGCTGTGGTTATTACAAAATGAGTTGCAAACAATAACATTACAACTGTTTATTTATTTATTCAACCATGAATCATCCTTAATCATAATTTAAAAATATTTCAGTAGAATATCTTTCATTGGCCAAAACTAGATCAAGTGTTACCATATTCATTAGCCAACATGTATATCAACATCAATTTTGGGATATATTTACAGTTTGGTTATGGTTACATAATGAATATTACAGTTTTTTTAAAAGGGCAACTCACGCATTTTGTAATAACCATTGCAAAATGTAATTTATTACAAAATGCAGGGAAATTTATTTTATATTGCGTTCAGGCTGTTACAGAATGCAGCAGATTATTACAAAATGTGGGTTTTATTACATAATTACATAAAAATGTTCTTGAGTCATTACATAATGTGTTGTTTATAGGCCTTTTCTTTTATTCTTTCCTTGTCCTTCTTTTAATGAGTATTTTGATAACTGTTACACATTGATAGAAAAAAACAAATTAAGCTTCTCATTATTCAGACTCAGCTCTCAGCGCTTAAGCTTCTTTTAAATGTTGATAAAACCAAGGTAATGCTCTTTTCAAAAGCTAAAAAGACACCAGAGCCTGTTTTAGATATTGTAACTACGCAAGGGATAAAACTTGAAGTGGTTACCTGTTACAAATACCTTGGTATCTGGCTTGATGATTGTCTCACTTTTAAACTTCATGTCAATAACCTGCTTAAAAAACTGAGGGTTAGGCTAGGTTTCTTTTACAAGAACAAGTCCCGTTTCTCACTTGAGGACAGAAAAAGGCTAGTCACTGTGACCTTTTTACCTGTACTGGACTATGGTGATCTGATCTATATGAATGCACCTGCCCATTACCTGATCAAGTTAGATGCCGCCTATCACAGTGCACTGAGATTTGTGACAAACTGTAAAGCATTAACCCATCACTGTACCCTGTATGCAAGGGCAGGTTTGCCTTCACTAACTGTACGGAAGCTCAGTCACTGGTACATTTTTATATACAAAGCCATGTTAGGGAAACTTCCATCCTACATCTGCTCCCTGATCTCACGGCGAATTGTAAGTGGCTACTGCCTGAGATCGAATGCTGTGGTTTTATTAAATGTGCCAACTGCTTGGACTGTCTTAGGGAAGATAGCTTTTAGATGCGCAGCTCCGCTAACTTGGAACAGTCTGCAAAAGGAATGGAAGCTGAGCAATTTGGTTCCACTAAATGTTTTTAAAGCAAGGATAGATGCTATCCAATCGGAAACTGTTGGAACCTGTAAATGTTACTAGCTATGTAAACTGTAGTCACTGTAAATATGCTGTATGATGTCCTTTTTTGTTTTTCTGTTATGTTTATATGTATTCATGTGGAACCTACTTGTAGCAGGTCACCCTTGAAAAAGAGATCAATGATCTCAATGGGATTCACCTGCATAAATAAAGGTTTGAAATGAAATGAAAGATTTTTTTTATCAGAACATGCATTTCTCCTCATTGTGAACATATATTGCACTCATGTTCAGAATATATGGTACGTACATGGTCTTTTATAAATCTGAATATATATAGTGCATACATGTCCCCATATAATTGTGAATATATAGCGCATACATGTCCCCATATAATTGTGAATATATATATAGTACATGTCCCCATATAATTGTGAATATATTCTACATACATGTCCCCATATAAAACTGAATATATAGTACATACATGTCCCCATATATTTGTGAATATATATAGTACATGTCCCCATATAAATGTTAATATATAGTAAATGTATGTTCACATATATACACAACCAATATATTATATATATTTACATATATTACTCAATATATGGAAAGCGGCAATTACTGATGTATTATCACATATATTACAATATATTATCACAATATATTATTCAATATATATATATATTGTAATATATTAACACAATATATTATTCTATTTATCTTCAATATATTTTCAATATATTTTGTAGATATGAATAAATATGTTTTTCATGTTGATTATTAATCAGTATCACTTGGTGTAGCCAACAGCAAGATTTCCTTTATTAAATCTTTTCAATTAACCAGTAAATCAGAAAACAAAATAATGCAATATATTGACAGTTAATATATGGGGAAATATATTTTCTTTGCGTAAGCTTCTATACTAACAAAGGACTGGCTTATCTAAAGCCAGTTGAGTAGCACTTGAAGTGTTTTGGCTCTATGAAACCTGATGTACTTATATGATTCTGTTTTCTTCAAGTTTGTATCTTCCTGGTCGAATGCACTTATTGTAAGTCGCTTTGGATAAAAGCGTCAGCTACATGCAATGTAATGTAATGTAAGTAGGTTGACACATTGCTTGAATTTGCTTTGGTTTATGTGGTACGTAAAAGGCACAGAGAGAAGAATACGTAGCAAAATAAAATAAAAATAGGACTGTTATGACGGCTATTTAAAGAAAACTATTTCAAGACAAATTAACAATATTTTCACATGACAAATACCATATACTGTATTTAAAGCGGAGAGCTGTGCTGATTTAAAATAGGTAGTGTGGAGAAGAAATGTGCAGGATTCACAATTTTGACAAGATGTTGTTCACATGATTTGCATAATGTTTTTCTGGGTGGATAAAAGTCAGTGTCAGTGGCCAGTGGGGGTCCCGGGCCTTGTTGATGAGGCCGGTAGCAGAGGGGAAGAAACATGTAACTTTATGATGGGTTAAAGTTGCATTTATGAAAAAGACTGAATTGCAACAGAGCAGAGAAACCACCAGATGGCAGCAACATACAAACCAAACTTTCATAATTTCACAACCTTCAAGATTTAGTAATAACAAAAACGTTCTGTACATCTTTAATAATAATAATAATAATATAACAAATGACAGAAGAGTTATATGGGGGCTATTGTATTAAAATACACAAATATTTTTGTCAGAAAATACTGTTCAATGGTTCTATGGAAAAGTCAAATTAGAGACAAACTGACAGACAGATAGATAGATAGATAGATAGATAGATAGATAGATAGATAGACAGATAGACAGATAGATAGATAGATAGATAGATAGATAGATAGATACTTTATTTATCCCAATTTAGGAAATTATTTTGTCACATTATAATTTTGACAGTCAATCTACAGGCATTACAAAATTACTTAAATACAAAAATATAGAGTTAAATAAAGATAAACACGACACATTTAAAATGTAAAAACAATATACATATTCTCGCTAAAACAATACCTATATTCTGAACATGATAAAATATACAGAATAAATGAGAATACTTTTTGATAAACAAATCTACTGACCATAACGACATAAAAAAAAAGGAAGTCTTTGTTCCGTTTCAGCTGATTCGCCATAAACACAAATAAATGTTATAAAATATAAAAACGTCCGTGTTTGATATCCTCCAAAGGGAGCGTGCTTTAATTCTCGATAGGAAGCAGCTGAGGATGCTGGGATATCTTTAGGATGACGATGAGGAGGATGAGGATGACGGGAAGGAGGAGCTCTGACGTCATATGTCCATGTTTTTTTTTGTAGCTCCGCAGTGCTGCTGTGTGAGCCGACAAAACCTCTGGAAGCTGCAGGAAGCTTTTTATACTTTTTTACACTTCTCCATTCTTTTTCTTCTTCTTCTTCCTCTTCTTCTTCTTCTTTCCTCCTGTCTTTATCGCCTTCTCTTTGTCTCCATGCGGGTGTTTCTCCAGCTCCAACCCAAACAGCGGGCCTTCCTGTAGCCGCCGCCCCGGCCTCCCTCTCCCTCCGGCCGGCGGAGCCTCCCAGCTGAGCCCCGCTGAGGTGGCCTGGTTCCCGGGGAGAGATGCTGTAGAGCAGCCGGTGGAGGAGATGCTTCTACCGGACTGAAGAGGAGCAGAAAGCAGGAAAGATGTCCGGCAGCAGGATGCCTCTGACCCCGGTGAGCGAGAGAGAAACCGAACAGGTAAGTGTGCTTCAACCCTGATTATTGATTATTGATGGGAGTTTTGAATCATTCATGCAGTGTCTTTACTTATATCAAGATTCAAAGGCTTTATTGTCATATGCACAGTAGCCACAGTGTAGATAGGGCAATGACAAACCTAAGTCCTAAGCTCCTCCAACAATGCAACATTATAGGACATTGTCGTGCCACCACAACATAACAAAACACTTTTTAAAATGACATACTGGTGCAGGTAGAATGCAGGAATAAGTGAAGTATAAACATGTGAAGTCTCGTGCCTTGCTCTAAAGGAATTTGATTATTGATTGAGTTTTAAATTATTCATGCAGTGTCTTTACTCATCGAGATTCAAAAGCTTTATTGTCATATGCACAGTAGCTACAGTGTAGATATGGCTATGAACAACGTAAGTCCCAAGCTCCTCCAACAATGCAACATAATACAAGTCAATAAAGCACATTCAAAAATAAAAATGACATACTGGTGCAGGAATAAGTGAGCTATACACATGGAAAGTCTAGTGCCTTGCTCTAAAGGAATTTGATTATTGATTGAGTTTTAAATTATTCATGCAGTGTCTTATTTATCAGCCTATTATTGGTGGTTTTACAATATTTTTAGTTATTATTTTGACAGTTTAAACAGAGGTCACCTGTTGGGATCATCCTGATTGATCCACAGTGTTTCAGCAGATCAATAATATAAAGATTTGAAGGCTTTATTGTTATATGCACAATAGCTAAAGCATAGTTGTTGGCAATAATAATCTTCCCAGACTCCTCTATCAGTCCAACATCAAATATACTTAAAAACATAGAATATATTTAAGATAAAGCCAGAAAATGTTCCAATGACATACTGGTGCAGGTAAAATGCAGGAATAAGTCAACAACTTTTAGTGCCTTGCTCAAAGGGATGTTGGTAGCAGGGGTGTGACAACCTCATACTGTTAAATATCTTCATGCTGATGTTGACCACAGTGACACGTTTCTTGTCTTAGCAGTAGCTGGAGATGGATGTCAAACGGGTCAGAGCGCTTAAATTAACAACACCTATTTGTGAGAAACTCTGTGGCCTCAAAACTACATTAGAACTTGTTGTGCTCTAACCACACAGTTCCTTAAAGGGATAGTTTGGACTTTTTGGGGTTAATTATCCAGAGTTATTGTGATACCTTTAGTAGATGGGATCCGTAAAGTGTAATATTGGCACGTCCCAATTTGGAGAAACATGGAGATAGGAGTACCAGCACAGAAGGATGTTTTATTATATTATATAGGATGACAAAATGTATTGTAGCAACCTACAACTATCGATTTCAGTGTAGTTTATCTTGTACATGTTCACCTATTTACTGTGCCACCAAACAGCCTTATGCTACAGCAGGGTGTCCGCGGGGTCTTAAAAAGTATTAAAAGTTGATAAATCAATTTAGCGAAAATGAAGGCTATTAAAAAGTATTAAACGGCATTTTCCAAGGTATTACATTTTGTAGCTTGTTTTCAATAAGTATACCAATTGTCCAAAGAGGTTGTATTCTACAGTTTGCCTGAATGTAATCATTGCGTAGGTCTGTAGTGAGATTCTGTGTGGTTTATTTATGGCATCCCGTTGGATTTGACGTCATCTGAACAGGACATCGCACGCTCACTGCTTGATAGCGCGCGAAGGTCCGTTTGCGCCGGTTGTTAAGCAACATCGTTATGGGGAAATGCAAGTCTGCGTCCAAATGGTTGGAAGATAAGGAGGAAGGACAATCAATACTGTATATAGTCAATGTGAGGTAAAGTGTGTCGCCAATGTAACCGGTTAGAACTCCAAGTGGCGATGAGGTCTTAAAATGTATGGAAAGGGTCTTAAAAGGTATTACATTTGACTTCAGGATTCCTGCATATACCCTGTAGAGGTAACCAAATATATGTACTTTTTAAAAAAACAACCAGAATCCATTGACAAAAACAGTCATTTGACTTTGCAGAACACAGGAGTTGCTGGTCTACTTTTTCTCCCAGTTGGTTAGTTTGTTGTGTTTTTGTGTGACTTTGGTGTTTTTTAATGGTTAGTTTGGATTCCCCAAAGTCACACAATAAAAAACTAAAAAAACAATACAGGCAGCGTTAAATCACAACTCCTTTGTCATGCGAGGTCAAATGTACAGTTTTGTCAATGGAGTCTGGTAGCTTTGAAGAAAGTGTAGTTAACAGCTTAAGAGCCCCCCCCAGAAAGTTATGTTGAAAGAAAAAGGGACAAGGCAAGATAGAGCGTTATTCTACATAAATATATACCGTAAATATTATACTTCTGTATCGTTTGTGGTTAGCTTTTGCAACAAAGGTGCATTGCTTGTGGTACTCCAGAAGATAAGATACTCAGTTTAAAATAACAAGGATGATGCTGCAGAACCAAAGATATTGTCTTTTTTTATGCCACACATTCTTCCTCCTTGTCATAATCTGGTGACCACATTACCCACAATGCAACTCGTCCCCTGGCAGTTATAGATTCAGGTGTGTTAAGCTAGACACCGCTAGCACAGCCTGCAGCCTCTGGTCTGGTTTATACATTTACAAAGTTAAAAGTTAAGTATTTCTACACTGTTTTGTATTTCTTCTTTTACTGAAACTAGTTTTCCACTAGTTTCAGGTGCAATAAGTTGAGTTGATACAGCTTCATGTTTTATTGTGGAGTCATGTAGCGGGAAGCTAACAGCTGCTGTGAAATAGAAGATATATTAGCTTTGATTATTTAGTTCTACAGCCACTATTGTGTTTACTAAAGAGTCTTTTTGTACTTTAATGTTGTGGATAACGCCCATGTGGAAACATTATATCCAGTCTATGGTGGAAACACATGATGGAACAAGCTGTTAGCTGTGTTGTTGTGGACAAAAGTAGCTTCTAATTCTATGTTTTCATGTTTTCTCTCTCGTGTCATCTGTCAAACACTGAGAACTGTGTGATGTTTTTAACCCTTATGTTAGCAGAGTCTTCGGGTCTGATGGACCTTGAAGGAATTCTGGGTAAACGCAGCTTCCTTATTGTCATGCTAATGCAGGAATGCTAATAGTGATCTGTTCTCAGGCTCCTGGTGCACATCCTCATCACTCTGTCTTAATGTTTCTCCATCTCAGGAATTATTTATTGATATGTAAGTATTAATGGGGAGGAGAGAGATAAGTATAGACTGCTTTATTTATTGATTCATCAGCTCATTATCTCTTGATAAATCCATTTGGTTTTTAAAGCATTTGAAAAAATCTCAACATTTTGTTTCCTAAAAACCAAGCTGACGTCTTTGTGAGTTTGTTTTGTTCAACACAAATACATCAGATTATTGTGCATTTACACCAACAGTCTGGAGTAAGGGGTTTCCTTTTTTCCTTCAATTAAAGCTAAAGTAAAAACGATATTACTTATGCCCCTTTCACACCGGCGCTTTTTCAGCTCCGGCTCGGAGCTGGAGCTGAAAAGTACCGTTTTTTCCTGTTCACACCGCAGCGGCGCCGCCTCATAGCTCCGGAATGCGGTTCACTTCCAGCTCCAAAAAATTGTCGGTCTAGAGGCAAGAGCTTCGGAGCTAGAGGCGGCGTCGCTTACGTCTCTCTTACGTCGAGGCGTGCAGGAAACTAAACCCACCTCCCCTGAACATGGGTCGACTGAAGAGTCTCGTCATGCCTGCCTACAAGCAGTAGTGCTGAGCAAAGTGACTAGAAGGCAACCACACACTTATAAAAAAAAAAACACACTTTATAAAGTCAGGCAACACTAACCAGGATTCGTGTGATTCTGTTTATTTGTACCTTACTTTGACCATCCGTTCGCTGTTATTGATCATTGTGGAGAGCAGGCAGACGTTTTGTTTGTTATTATAGCAGCTATCGGATGGAATCAATACATGGGCTGCACAGGTTGTCATGTCCGACTATCGCAAGTAGAATCATAATGAAAAATACGCCGGTAAAAAGTGCCGGTAGAAAACGGCTTAGCAAGTAGTCAGTTTAGCTTCGGTTGCTATGCTAACATCACCCATGTTATACCAGAGAAACTTTCATAACAGCGTTGTGATGCCAAACAGCGTCAATTCAGACTGACACACATTCACTTAAGGGGAACTGGGGATATGTATCAGCTGCTTGTGTGACAGTCAGACAGTGAATACTTTAGAGCCGTGTGAGCTAACCCGGAGCTAACGGGAGAATAAACTCCCGTTGAAGAGCAGCCAGCACTGCAGCGGTCGGTAAATGCCGCTGAAACACATTAATAAACAATGAACCACGGCACTCTGGAGAAAAGTATAAGGTTGGAGAAGTCGTTATTTAATTTAATCTGGCTTCGTATGATTAAAAGCAACACGATCATCGACCCGACGCAGTCCCCCCCCCGTTGTTGTTGTTGTGAGCTCCGTTGGGGAGAAACTCAGCGATGTAAACTGTGACGTCATGACGCAGCAGCGGCAGGAACAGAGCGGGAGCTGAAAAGGGAAACCGGAGCTGAACCAGAAAAGCTCTCGCTAGGAGCTAGAAAGGGAAAAGCGCTGGTGTGAAAGCCGCATAAGACGCCTAATGTATTATTGACACTTTGTAAATAGTTTTTGCCCTAATAGAAAAGTAAGAGGAATAATTTTAAACTCCATTCAGTCGATGTCCACACAGTGTTGCATGGCAGGGGAAAACCATGTTGGATTTTAATTTTTTTCAGTCGTGAAAAAGCGACCCTCGATCCTTATTGATCCACATTGGAATTTTTGCTTTTATCATTTAGTTTTTCTTGGGTTTTTGCGCACTTTGCAGTCCATTCAATGGTTAGAACAATGAGGTTTGAACTGTAATTTATTAACGTTATGTTGTAATGTTTGTAAAGAGTACTTTCTACAGCTTGAAAAAACACATTCAAACATATTGACTATTCGTCTCAGACGTCAGAATCTTTCAAATCACGAAAGTGTTCATCTTAAAAATAATTCTGCAGGTACATTTTCTAATGTTCAACTAATAACAT